ATAATTTAAAAACAAAGAAACAGAATTGAGTGAAATATGTCAGGGTGCTTTGCACATAAGAGGAATTTCTGTTTTATGAACCTGTGTGTACATGTGTGTTGTGCACACATATATGTATCAGAGTGTTAAACTCAAAGGTTTCATTCTCGTCATCAAACCTTAGTCTCTCAACATTTCTTTCCTTTAAATTCTACAGTAACACCAGTGAGAAACCATTGCAGATGAGCAGGGCTGCTCCCACATGTAGTGGTACACTCACCATGCTAAGGAAAGTTTGCACAATGCTGGTCAGCTGTCATTTGATGTTTCCTGAACAAGAAGTGAACTTAAACCACCTGCTACAGATGATAAACTGCACCTTTTAATATATTCATGATAGATGGGGAAAGATTGAAGGTGTCAACAATTTTATGTTCTTTGGACCTACAATCAACACTCCATGTTAGCAGCAGTCAAGAAGAAATCAAAAGATGTGTCACCTGGGGAAAATCTGTCAAGACCGTTGCCAAAGTGCTAAAGAGCAAGGATGTCCATTTAAAGACAAATACGCACTTGCTTGAGGCCATGGTATTGTCAATTGTTTCCCACGCATCTGAGAGTTGGGTCATGGGTAAGAATGACTGAAGAAGAATCACTGCCTTTGAATTTTGGCTCTGGAGAATGCCAAATATATCATGGTTAACAAAAGAACAAACACGTCTGTCTTGGAGAAAGTGCAACCAGGGTGGTCTTTAGAGTCAAGGGTGATGGAACTTTATCCTACATATTTTGGACATGTTGTCAGGAGAAGCTAGTTCCTATAAAAAAGATAACATGGTGGGAAAGATGGAGAGTCATAGAAGGAAAGGTCCCCTGTTGTTGTTGTTGTTATGTGCCATCGAGTTGTTTGCGACTCATAGCGACCCTATGTACAAGAGCTCTAAAGGCTGTTCTATCCTGTGCCAACCTAGCCATCTCAAACGCATTTATTCCCACTGCTCCAGTTTCAGAATCGATCCATCTCATTGAAGGTCTTCCTCTCCTGCGCCGTCCCTCC